TGGACCTATAAATAATACGTCCATGGTTGTAGCTATAATTATTAGATGATTTATTCCAGGTCTCTTACATATCCATATCTCAAACAAATTTGATGAAATTGGGTTTACACAATAATAAGCATACTTCTTCCTTTTGCGTCGAATGGGTCTAATTTTGCATTACTATGATGGGTTTTTTGTCGCTTATAATCCTCTTTGGTAAAATGGTTAGAACAAATGCGAGCAGTATTTAAATTAAAATAGTCTTCCCGCTGGCATTTTTGCTGCCAAACCCTTCTCACACTTTTGTCTTTTGGGAACGTAAAAAACTTTACAAATATTTCTTTTTCGAAATTAATTGCAAACATTTGTTGCAATCTGGCAACTGCTGATTTGACGATTGCCAAATCTATCCCATAATCTATCAAAATTAGGTTGAGTTTACTGAAAGTACAAACTGAATATAGTCACAAATGTCAAAAATATTTGGGTTTGGCAGTGTTGGCATGTTTTTATAATACCACAGAATACTAACTTGTTCTGTGATAATACATATGTTGTATGCTTCAAATATAAAGAGATAAAGCTTTTAAAAAGTACATTTTGATTATACTATTTTATAAATTCTGCAATTTTTAATTTATATGCGGCAATAACGAGTAGATATTTGTCTCTTTCGAAATTAATTGCAAACATTTGTTGTATTTCTACCTAGTAAGGCTGGAGTTTCTCGATGCTTAAAATAAAAATCTAAATTCATTGTTTGATTGGAAAAAGTTGCTGGTAATTTAAATCTACCCATAGGATGAATCTTTTCTTCCGAAAAATTAACTATCGATTGAAATCCGTGTCTGAATCCCTGAAGTTAAAGGTCTGATCTCTTTAAATCGCTGTTCTTACTAATGTGCTCGTCTTTCCGAGCATCTTCACGCTGTAGAGACTCCAGATTTTCTTGCTACAACTCCCTTTCGTTATTCGACTCACCTCCCTTTCTTCTACTGGTTCCGTTTTCACACCATTTTTGCTATGTACCTCGTTAATAACAGTTATTGCTGCTTCTTCTATTTGTGCTGTATCCATAGCTTTATTAATTGTTACATCTGACTTCAGTGCAAATAGTGTAGTTATAGCCAAGATCCCACTGCAGGATCACTACATTCATAACGTAATTAATCAAACTCACATTTTATACAAATTTCAAATTAGAACACATTGATAATAGGTTGCCAGTCAAAAAGGGGCCGTAAATATTTTTAATTCAATTAGTTTTTGACAAAAACTTTATTTCGTTCATTTATTTTTTTAAATAAAATACGCTGCTCATGACGTATATGCATGTTTTTTATATCAAATTAAAGCTAATTTTTTGCTTAATATGATGATAGGTTTGCCTGAGAAAAATGGTCGAAAATTAGGGTTGCCAGCTGTTAAAAACGCGGGGTATCAAAGATAAAATAAAAGACAGCTAGCGCGCAACATTACTGGTTTGAAGTGTCAGTTGTTTGAGTTTTTAAAGCATGCGTCGATACATTATACATTGGCGTCGATAGATTTATAATAATATACATATTATCACTTGTAAAACCAGTGCCATTACGCCCTAACTCTATTTTACTGCATTTTTGATACCTCGTGTTTTTAACAGCTGGTGTTTAACAGCTATCGCTAGTGTTCGATGTCTAATTCACGTCGAAATTGCAGGTCATTCATCTGGCCGTTTTTTGTACAGAACTGGTTCGTTAAATTGCCATTCTAATTTTAAGTATAAAAGGTTTAATAAGTAAAAAAATCAAATACAACTGATTAAAATTGTACTTTATTTAAAATTTAACAGAAAAACAATCAGATATATTATCTGTATATACATATATAATGTTCGATTAAATCAACCCCTCCTTCATAACAAACAATTTTAGTAACGGTTTAACAATAAAATAATATTTCTTTTAGTATTTTGACACCTAACATACAATGGAATGACAACTAAAAATCTATTTGTACAAAAGCTACATAGTCATATAAATACTCAACATTAGAAAAATATAATTTAATTTGAATCACAGTCTTGCAGACCTCTCAAAACTGTTAAAATTGTGAATAATACATAATGTTTTTCTAATATCTTTACATTGCTACCTCGGAAACAACGTTTAGTTAAAATTTTTTTTTGATAATTTTCATGTTGAATATGGTCTTAATGATTCAATGTAAATGTTTTGATATTTTTTGCGATAGCATTAAGATATGTCAAACACTGTTTCACTTACTGTCACATAATCATTGACTACAGACGGTTTAGAAACAATTATTTAAATTTGAATTTCATGAGTGTGTTGCTACTGTAAGTTGCCTCATATCTCCGAAACCGAAGGCAACGATAAGAACCCCGAACAAGAAGATAATTAGCCAACCAATAAAAGTAAAATCAGTTTGGAAAACCCACTTCCAAAGCAGTGTCAGGAAACTAAACCACTAAGTTTATTGGATCCCTCGTTATTAAATAAAAATGATATAGAATTTATTAGTTCCCAAATAAAAAAAATCTAGTATTTATATAGGAATGATTTTGAAATTTTTCCAATCAAAAGATAGATATGTAACGTAGATGTTATAATAAAATGTTATGTATAAATGATGTTATAAAACTGAATTATCTCAAATACATATACAAAATTGTTAATAACTACTTGAGACAAATTATCCTCTCCTTGAATAGATTTCCCACCACCCATAAACAGTTGAACCCATATGGAAATAGTTTCGCGATAATCATTCTTCAATTTATACGTTTTGTTGTGAGGACGTTGACCTTTTACATATATAATACTCACAATATTAGTCACACGTATATTAGCCTTCACATCACGGTTTTTGGTTGAAGTAGATTTCATTATACTGTTACAATAATTAAAACTTTCGTTATCTTTGAAAATCTGACGTATCTATTGCCTGAGAGCAATTGAAGTTTTCGTCAAATTGTGGTAAAATGCCAAGCGAAATTATTGTAATGGTACATTAAATAACAGACTTAGTTCAATTAAAACTGTCATTTCAAAGCAAATATACGTAGCTAATCAGAACTTGTAGGGATGACAACACAGACCGACAAGCTGAGAACCAGAAAACAGATATGTTGTCGAAGATTTATAGCGTGCAAATACGAATCTGAGACAAAATTGCTGAATTGGCTCTGGTTTTTGAGATACCCCAACCTAAAAGTGTTAAAATAGCTGTTTTTGGCCATTATTGAGGTTAGACCCGGTAATTTTTTGTATCCTAAAATAATAAGCTTAACACTTGAAACTATAAGCCTTTCTCTTTCAAATAGGTATGGGTAAATAATAAGAATGGGTATAAATTTACTTTTTTTATATAAAATCTATCTAGCTCTAATGCAAACGAACGTTTGAGTGTCCTACGTCTATGTTCAACTGAAACGTCATTTCTCTTAAGTGACTAGCAGTAATCTACCATCATTAGTACATCCCAACTACCTTCAAAATGACGCTCTTTCTGCTTGAAGTCTGGGTGAAATCGATCTCCCATCTCTTCGCTGAATGCACCTACATTTTCTGCAAAATAATTTAAATGAGAAAACAAAAAAGTGTAATTTCCAGCTCATCAAGCCGCCTAATTTTTGAACATTTTTTAAAACTTCTAACTTCTTTAAAATTAACCCATGCTTCTTTTTCTGTGTCATAGTTTTCTCAAAATTGTCATCTTTCATTAGCTTCCTAATGCCAGGGTCTACAAAAACAGTAGAAGCTACTTGTAGGGGTTAATAGGGTTACAGGTGTTTTTTTTCGATCAGTAAATACAATTACTGTATGTGATTTTATTTTGATATGATACAAGAAGCGATTAATCTTAGGAATTCCATGGTTAGGTAGGTTTGACTGTTTGTGATGTGAAAGTGATGGTCTTTAGGGGTTGGTTGGGTTTGCGTGTAGGTTTAAGATTGTTGGATTTGATTTGGGTTTTCAGGTTTAAGGTTGTTGGAATAAGGTTTTATGAGTTTGAAAAATTATATTATGATGCTACATAACCTCAAAAACAGTCAAAAACCGCTATTTTTGTACTTAGGATAAGTTAGGATATCTCAAAAACCACAACCAATTTGGCAATTTAGAGCTCAGATTCGCCTCCGGCGCACAAAAAACCTTCTGAAAAGTAGTTTCCGATCTCTGGGCCCGAATATTTGTAAAATTTGGATTATGATCATATGGTTTTTTAAAACTAAGGAATTTTAAAATGCGATATATCTCAGCAAAGAATAAGATATCTAAGTAAACTCAACGGCATTTAAAATATTGAGGCCTATACTTAAAGATGATTATAACAGTTGAAAAAAACATTATATTACGACGCTACATAACCTCAAAAATGGCCAAAAACTCTATTTTTGCTCTTTTAGGTTAGGTTATCTAAAAAAACCAGAACCAATTATTCAAGATGGAGCTAGAATCGGATTCAGCGCACAAAAACCTGAAAATTATACTCTGATCTCTGGTTCATATATTGTTCATATTTTCTTGATCTTTGCATAAAATATATAGCATAGCAACAGCATTATTTCCACGTCTATTTCGTTTGACGTCAAGGTTTGGATTAAACTAGGTTTATTTTTTTTTAAGTTCAATATAATTAGATGTTAAATAACACTTTTGTTAAAAAAATTAATGAAAGCGAAATTTATCCCGAAAAAACCGACAATGCGAGTAATTTAAATAATGTGAACATTTAGACAATAGTTAATACGGTTTGATTTACAAAATTCATTTTTGTCAACTATATTTCTACACCATCATGATATCTAGTTGCGTTAATGGAAACCTGAGAGGAGAACTAGTGTATAATGTTTAAATTACCTACATTTTTATTTATATTAACGAAAACATTTACAATTTTCCAAATTCCTTCAGGCCTTTTTTCCTTGTAATTTTAGAGTTGGTGTTACTGTGCAACAAATATGGAGCATAACGTTCGGCAAGTGGCTTGTACAACCACTCGTAGAGCATATACTATGTTTTTCGAACAAAGCCACTTACTGGTGGTGGATCAAGAGATGAGTTCAATTGCATGGGCTTTGTTGGGTCAATTCCAATTGGTTGTTGGAATGGACGAATTGGAACATTTGGCGATCTTCTTGACGTAGGAGAGGGTGGAGGTCTCTCTATTGTCATGGTTTGCTGGGGAATTTGACTGTCAGAAGTTACCCCCATAGAAGTATAAATTTCCTAAAAAAAAAGAAAAATAAAAAAATACTTTTTACTTGCCATGCCTTTTAACCTGTTACAATTTCCATAATTTTATTTATAGAGTTCAATAAACCTTAATATAAGCAACCTTTTGATTTACTGAATTTCAAATAGTGGCGGACGATCAATCAACCAACGATCAAGGTCTTCAAGAGCAGTGAAGAACCAGCGGGATTATTTCGTATCCACAAGATGATTTCTGTTTTAATGGAAAGAATATGGTGTTACATTACAGTAAAAAGTTTACACAAAGTTTACCACGGGAACCTATTTATGACAGTTTAAAACAAATTAAAAAAAATCGATAGAAAATATTTTTTTAATTTCCAGCATCCCTGCTTCATTAGACATTCTATTAATACCGATTCGAGCACGGGGAGTTTAACGAATTTGTCCTCCTAGGCCATATATTTGGCCATAGAATTCAACAAAGCAACAGCAGCTTTTGCTAAAAGATTTAATCTTTCACACATTTCGTTTAGCCCAGTGGACAGAAACCGATATTATTAAATCGTTTTGTTCATGGCCACCAGAATAGATGGCACCTTTGTATGCGGACCACTGCAGTGATTAGGATTTAGAAGATATTCGTTGAACTTTCCGAGTGTAAATTTGTATCAGTCCGAGTGTCTGATGAAGCAGGGATGCTGAAATGAGTCATAAAACTCTATTGATACCAATTCGAGCATGGGAAGTTTCAACGAATTTGTCCTCCTATACCATATATTTGGCCATTCAATTTAATAAAGCGATAGTAGCTTCTGCTAAAAGATTTAATCTGTTCGCAATTCCGATTCAATTTCAGCTTTATGTCAACACCATCTTCATTCACAAAATTGAATTTGAAATCTCCAGAACCATAACCCCCATCCGCTTTTATAAACTGTATCCGGTTACCCGGTTATATCGGCATTGATGACGGCATCCGGTTACCTTCGACATTGCGACCTCTCATAAATAAAATATCGTCAGCTTCCCCATGTAGTCAAAATCCTGCTGTCAGAAATGTAGAAATGTATATATATATATATATATATATATATATATATATATATATATATATATATATATATATATATATATATATATATATATATATATATATATATATATATATATAGCAAAAAATACGACCGTTGATTAAATTTAAGATATATTCAATAGTTGAATAGCAGAGGTTGTATCGGTCAATAATAGGCAAATGAAAGTCGTCAACTACTTCATTGATTTAATTTAATACGTTTCGCTTTTTGTTTTCAAAAGCATCATCAGTTCACTACAAATAAAAATAAAAAGCTTTAAAATATAAGTAAATAACCAAAAGGGTTCATACTTACAAAAACAATTTGTAGGTTTTTTTAAAGATGTTAAAATCACTCTACGATAACTTAACATTAAAAACTTAAAAACTAAACGATAGAATCGAAACAAAAAACACACAAGAAAAAACTGAAAGAGCACTATTGTTTATTTAATTTTTACCGGTTTTAATTTTAATTTTTATCTTTCGAAGATCCAACACAATAATCTCGGATTGTTTTCTATCGGTTGTAGGCTGTCATATTTGCACATGTGGCTTGTGTCGTACATATGTTTCTTTGGAAAGCAGTGAGGTACAATTATTAAAAAAGTTGGTAAACAGAACGGGGACAGCCTTATTTTTCAAAAAAACAAAAAAAAAAATTTTAAAAATAGGGAAAAAAGAAGGGGAATGAAGTTACTATCTTGTAAGTGTTTTTTATTTGTTGTTGTGTATGATGAGAGAGTGATATATCTGGCTCAAGTTGTCGATGTCAGTTCTTTTATTTAGGGATGATGGATGTTTAAGAATTTGACACATTACAAGGATAGAACGCTTATGATAATTTTTTTGTTTGCACAGTATTTTGGTATTAGTGAAGTCGATACTGTATTTGGTTGAAATGGCATGTTGTGCAATGGCACAGGATGGTTTTGAAATCCTAATGTCGCTTTTATGGGACGTTAGTCGACCTTGAAGAGAACGGCTGGTCTGGCCAATGTAGCAGGAGTTGCACTCCGCACAGGGTACATGATAGACGATGTTAGTTTGTTCTAGAGGGGCCAATGGAGTTTTTGTCTTAGAAAATAACTTTCCTACGGTTCTGGTGTTTTTTAAAGCTATTTTGACAGGTAACTTTTGGAAAAGTTTGATTAGCTTGTTTGTGATTTGTGGGAAGTACGGGAGCGAAGCATATTTTATGGTTTGTTTAGGAGTGAGAGGGGACTCATTCATTTGTATTCTGTTAGAAATGGACGCTAATGTTAGCCCGTTGGGTGTTTCCCATGGACTGCCCATAGCTTTTGGAATATAGAAATTTATTGATAATGGATGCCGGATAGGAGTTATCTATGAGAATAGACTTCAGTAGATTGAGAGATTCTTCTTTGTAAAGCGGATGTGTCAACATGTGTACTCTAAGGCTGAGGGCTTGTACCAGGTTGAGTTTATATCTGATTGGATGTGTCGAATGGTAGTTTAAGAAACGGTTGCTAGCCATTTCTTTTCTGTACCAGGTAGTGACTAATCTGTTATCTGGAGTGCGAATAATTCGCATATCTAAAAACGGGATACTGTTCTCAACCTCCAATTCACATGTAAATTGTAGGTGAGGATCAAAGCAGTTAAAAACTGATAAAGTGTCGTCTGTCTTGTTCGACGGGGTTGCTAAAATCAGATCGTCGACATACCGTTTTACAAAGGGAACCTGGAAATCTAACTTCTTGATACTCTCATTAATAAGATCGTCTAGAACAAAGTTGACTAGAATAGGAGAAATCGTGGATCCCATAGGAGTTTCAAAGATTTGGCGATAAAATTTATCATTAAAAATTAAATAATTGGTGTCAAAAATCAATTTTAATAATTCGGAAAAAGTTTCCCAAGATATCGGACTGTGGGGTTGGATTTGATTCCAATGGTTACGGAGAGAAGTTAATACGCTGGAAAGTGGAAGATTTGTGAACAAGGATACTACGTCAAAACTTACTAAGACAAAGCCTCTGGGTAGTTGATAATAATTAATAAATTCACTGAACTGGAAAGAATCTGTTATGTTGAGGTCATTATTATAATTGTATGCTTGTGAAAGAATGTTCGTTATAAATTGAGCTATATTCGTGTTTGGAGCATTTATTGAAGATAATATGGGTCGCATACTTAGTTGTGGTTTGTGAATTTTGGGGAGACAGTAAAATCTAGGAGCATAGCCATTGTAATTATGGAGGGATTTGGCTAGTTTATCGTCAATAATTTTTTTGTTTTTTAGTTCAGTGATATATCGGTTGATTTTGTTGGTGTAGGTAGAAGTGGGATTGCGAAGAAGTGGTTGATAGTATTTACTATCATCTAGAAGTTGCTGGCTCAGGTTAATGTATTGCTCTCTCATCATAAGGACTGTGGCATTACCTTTATCACTAGTTAATACCATTAGGTCAGAGTGTTTTTTTAGAAAGGTGGCCGCTTGTTCAAAAACAAGATCAAAATCGGTTTTGGCGTTAGAAGGCTTATGTGAGAAGTTAGTGAGAATGTTGTAGGCAGAAGATCTTAATTCGAGAAGGTCGTTGGTTTCAGACTGAGATAGTATGTTTTCTATGTCAGCTACGAAATTACCTACAGAGTAATCCTTGAATGAGGGTTGTAATCCGAACTTTGGTCCGAGAGAAAGAAGTTTGAGGACATTATTGGGTATTTGGATGTCTGTGAGATTTTTTATCCATTTTTCGTGGAATGGTAAACGATTGAACGGAGTGCAGAACAAAAAGCGAAACGTATTCAATTAAATCTCGTAACACTGAGATTTTCAACATTCCATTCCACAGTACGAATTATGGCCAAAATGAACCCATTACAAGAATTTTACGAACTGCTAATGAGCACAGCAATAATTTAGAGTTATTTGGAATATCTACAGCAGCATTTAAGAAATCATTTGAGCGATTTTGAGCATTATTTAATACCTTAAGCTACCATTTTAATTGAATTTTGTTTGATTTTAATTTTGGTTTGTTTTTTATTAACGCAACCTATGTATACCTAAGCTTTGTAAAGGTTGACGTCATATTTATGTAAAAATGGTATATCCGTTAATTAAATAAATAAATAAATAATCAATGAAGTAGTTGACGACTTTCATTTGCCTATTATTGACCGATACAACCTCTGCTATTCAACTATTGAATATATTTTAATATATATATATATATATATATATATATATATATATATATATATATATATAGAGAGAGAGAGAGAGAGAGAGAAACCACTGCATAGGAAGTGCTAATTTAATGAAGCTAAAAAGATATATTTATTTAGAATTTAGAAATTTACCATTACAAATAAAAAATTTACCTTTAACATCATCAATATGGTGTCCTCGGATTGCCAATAACAAACATGGCTCGTTAAGGCAAATACGTATTCATTGAAGAACTCAAAGGGTGCTTCCTGCAGAACATAATCGACTCTTCTTCCACTATTCAAATTTCCTACCGGAGTTTTCGTAGATTCCTGCATAGAATCGTTTTCCAGTTGTCCCATTTGATCTTTAAATGCCTTAGACACCTCTTCTTCCAAACTAGGAGGGGATTGTTTGTGGAACATTGCCAATTGGTAAACGGAATTCCAAGTACTTCTCATCGAATCGATTACTTTCTGTTTTAAATCCGCACCGACACGTGTCATGGTCTCTTTTAACTCTAAAACGGGAAAAATTAAGTTTTACACGGAACTAATAATTTTAGTAACAGGCATTACCTAAATGCATTCGTTTCCTTCCTTTATGGTGTGGAATCAATACTGGTTTTAATTTTGCAAATTCTGGATTGATTAAAGATTCTATCCTGTATGCGATTGGATCGTATGGATGGAAAATGTTGTAGAATGCTGGACAAGTGGGCAACGAAAAGTTTTCACCTAATGTGTCCAGACCTCTCACGATCACAAACATACCTAGAAATATAATGCTATACAGAACAAAAGTAAATCTACAATATTAAAAAATATATTGTGCTTGGTGAGTGACGACAGAAGGGAAAACTTTTACTGAAAAACTGGAAAACCTCTTTTACACTGAAAAAACTATTAAGTCTCAAAATGCATTTAAAATACTTCATACTAATGTGATTTTTTTATTTGCTTTAATTTATTTAAATAACCATAAAATGTAAATTTAACTTAATTTGTTTTAAATATTTTTAACAATTTAATTTTGAATGTAACATGATCTATTGATAGAAAAGATCTTAATGTGCCTTTCGCGAGTAATATCCATCTTCAAATAAGACGTAAATAAAGCTTACTTCAGCAAAATCAATATTTAAAACAAAAAGAGAATGCATCATGTCTGTACTTTACTTTGGTATACCGGTTGGTGAATCGTCAAAAGGGCCATAGGAAGCTCAATGGGAAATTTTAAATTGTTGAATTGCTGCTTCCCTAATTATTTTAGATCAAAAGTCATAAAAAACTATTTGTAGAGGACTAAAATCTGAATTAAAAACAAATGTTAAAACCGTTCTACGAATCAAATGTACTTCAAAAGTTTGCAAAAATATAATAGATTTTTCAGACCACCCCTAAAAGTTAGGCCACACGTAATACAAGAATATATAACGTGTGTGTTTTATCAGATTGATGTCACATGTTTGACAATTTGAATGGTCAATTTTTTTATTTTATGATTAAATTATAAACAATGAATTTTACTAAATACTACTACTACTGAACAATATTACTTTGTGAACAAATAAATTATATTGTTTACAAATCGATCAATATAATAAAATGTACTCAGTTGACGAAAAATCGCATAATCTTGTATTCAGGCAACAGCGCGAACTTTTTCCTGCCACTACCGGATCTTTATTTAACGTAAGATATTCTAATACACTAAAATTTAATTCCATGTTAAGTTAAGTTATACAACAATTCAATGAATTTCAATATACTGTTACTGTGATCTTTACTCCTAATAATAATATATGATAATTTCTAAACATAAAACTATAACAAATGTTATAATAAAACATTTTTATTATTGCTCTTTTCTCCTTAACTGAGTACATTTTTTAATCAACTTAATTTTTCTTTTAAATAATAAATCACAAAATTTTGGCCATTTACATCATACATAAATATAATATAGTTGATTTAAATATTGTCAAATATTAGAAACGTCATATGACAAAACGCAACACGTAATACACATTTTTTTCACGGCGTCTGGCCTGACTTTTAGGGGTGGCCTGAAAAATGTATTACATTTTAGCAAAATTTTGGAATACGTTTAAGTCGTAGAACAATTTAACAATTGTTTTCGATACATATTTGAGTCCTCTACAAATAGTTTCCCATGACTTTTGGTGTAAAATAATCAGGGAAGCAGGAATTCAACAATTTAGAATTTTCCATTGAGTTTTCAATGGCCCGTTTGACGATTCACCACCCTGTATGTGATGACTAGAGACTGGATTGTATGCAAAATGCATGTGCATATATATGCAGCATATTTGTGGGTTTCTTTATAAATGCATACGCTATGCATTTTTACTTGATTAAGAGCATATTGCCATATATTTGAAAATATCACAGAAATAAAATGGTTTTTTATACATATTTAGATAATAGTTTCTTGGAATTATTCATAGCAGGTACTAGGCAAGGTAACTACGAAATAATTTTATTACAAATATCTACTAAATCTACAAGTTTTACTGTTTAGGAAAACCCATCTGGGAATTATTTATCAGAAGAATAGGGCCAACATGCAGCTAGGTATTATACAGTAAATTCGTTTCAAAATTCGCTTTACCAGCTGGCAAAACAACTTGTGATTGTGAATATTGTGCTTATAAAATAAAAATAATTTCTTTTTTGAAAATATGCCGAAAATAGAGAAACAAAAATCAAGTCTATTGCGGAGTTGGGTTGGTGGCAACAGTGAAATGAAGATTATAGACAATGAAAGTGTTTTCTGTACTATTTGTGATAAAAAGGTGAGTCCACTTATATTTTAACGGTTCAAAAATTTAATTTAAAATCTCATTTTTGCAAGAAAATCGGTATACCTATACTAAACATGTAACAGTTTGACTATTGGTGGTAGTTTTAGTTTCGAGAAAAAAAATATAAGTTATCTTAAAAATTTGAAGTCCATATTATTGCATTAGACTACTATTTACTTAACCGTTTTATTACAGATTCCATGTGAAAAAATTCCAAATTTTCCAACACCTGAAAACGGCTCTCCATCAATATAAACTATCTAACTTCAAGAAACCACGCCAGCAGCTTCTGCAGAAGAACATTATTCAAAATCGTCACACATCGACGGGGCAAGAAATGTTTGCAAAAGATGTATGCAATTCTTTTGTAAGTTGCAATATCCCACTATATAAATTGAATAGCAAGGTATGTCAAAATTTTTTGAAAACATATTGTAAAGTTGAAAATAAGTCAGTACAGGTAACAGGTTCTTCAACTCTTTGCAAGAAATATGTGAGGGCATCTTACAAAGACGTTATTGAAGGTATTAAAAGCCGGGTAAGAGATGAATATCTGTGGATATCTGTCGACGAGACTATTGACGCCAAGGGTCGGCAAATCGCGAATTTAATTATTAGAGTTTTAAACAGTTCAGCTGATGACTCCAACAAGTCGTATTTAATCAACGTAAAATGTTTAGAAAAAACTAACTATGCAACAATTGCTCGATTTGTTAATGAATCTTTGACAAATTTCTTTTTGCCGAATCAAGTACCTTCTGAAAAAATTTTGCTATTAGTTAGCGATGCCGCTTCCTACATGATTAAAGCTGTTGCTAGTCTTAAGATTTTTTTTCCGAATTTGATTCATTGTACATGCTTAGCGCATGGTTTAAACAGGATGGCAGAGAAAGTTAGACTCGAGTTTCCAAATGTAAACACTTTAATCAACAATGTAAAGAAAGTATTTTTAAAAGCACCATTGCGAGTAGAAGTATATAGTGTTGTAGTATACAGAGTTGACTAGATGGGTGACGTGATTGCATAGTGCCATATTTCTTGTAAATAATTATATTGATATCAACAATTTTATATCAAATTTTGATCCTTCTTGTTGTATTGCTGTTCAGAAATGTCAAAATATTTTTAGTTAGAATTCTGTTCAGAATGAACTGTCCAATATGAGAGCAAATTTTGACATAATTGTAAACTCTATGACAAAACTAGAGTCTCAAAAATTATCTTTAAATGATAGTATTTGCATTGTTGATTCTGTCAAAGAAAGAATAGTAAACCTTTCAGGGACAATTGAAAAAAAAAATTAAAGATAAATTTAGTGAAGTTTTAAACCGGAATGAAGGCTTTTCTTTATTGCGATCAATAAATACCATAATCAATGGAAGATTTAACGAAGTTATTAATATGGATCCCTGGCTAGTGTCAAATTATAGATTTACGCCAATTACATCCTGTGTTGTTGAAAGATCGTTTTCCTCATATAAACACATATTAACTGATAGAAGGCATAACATTACTCTTGAAAATATTGAACATTTTATGATTATATACTGTAACAGCAGGAACGAGGACATTTTCTTGTGAAATTCATTTATATTTTTTTATTAAATGTAGTAATCAATAAACACTCTCTAAGTTATACTATAATTTTATTTTTCACCAAATCCCAAACCCTAAAAATTAAAAAATATTTTTGTTTAAAGTGCATATATAAATGCATATTGCATATAATAAAGGCATATTTGGTTACTTTTTAAGTGCATGTTGCATGCATATTTTAACCATTTTTTAGAGGATATAATCCAGTCTCTAGTGATTACTCACTGACTGTGAGGACTTGTCACTGCTTTGACATAAACGTGTTACCAACTACTAAAAAAGTAAAAAAAAAAAGTTTGTGAAAAATTCCTTATTCTTTCAATATATTTGTAAGAGGTAAATTTGACCCAGTCTACTGCTGATATGGTGTTTAAGTGGAGAGTAATAATAAAAATAATAATTTTAAGTACAATGATTTATGAAAAGATGTGTAAAGTGTATTTACCGCCCTCAATAGCTACAATATGAAAAATCTATAAAAATAAAAAGTTGTGAAAGTTAGGTACTTACCTATTGGAGATCCCAAAGCAAAGAAATTCTTAGGTTCGAAATTAAGTCGAGTGTAATGTATTTCCGGCTGTCCCGTACCGATGGCACCCATCATATAGCTTATTCTTTTACTCATCTTTCGTTGAGGTGGAGCTGGTTTGCCCGAGCCTGGACTGCTAGAAAGGATTTCATCACCTACAAATTAGGTGATGATTTTAACATTATGATACACTTATTGATATCAATACACTTACTTTCTTCTCCGTCAGATTCAGGTTTAGAGTGCTGGTGGCACAAGAGGTCGAAGAGTATAAGGCTGCCTAAACTGTGACCACCAAGTGAAACACCCCCTTTAAAATCAGGATTTCTTTGTTTAAAAAGATCATATATTCTATTAAGCTCTGTTCCCACAGTTGTAGTAATTTTTTGGCAGTAAATGGGACTAGTATAAAACAAAATATCGAGCAAAGTGTCATTCGTAAAGCCTCTCAGTCTCGGTATACTCTCCAGAGTAATACTTTTTAATTGGTCGTCGATTCCAGTTTCATCGGAATGTAACCTATCGTGCCAACTTATAGGTAAAACTTCCACACGGTTGACTTTTCCTTGATCACAGGACGACCTATAGTGAGATTGAACTAACTGAAAGGCAATACTGCGGAATTCATCAACTACCTCCTCTACTGTTCTAAATTTTAAATCACAGACTGAACCAATGCCATGAACCATGAACAAGATGTGATCGACTTGAGCAGGTTCTCCTTCATCTATATCAAATTCATCCATACCTCTTTTTACAACTCTAGGTCGGGACTGGTTCTGAAAAAGAAAATAATTAATTTTCCTTAGTCACCATCATTCATTGTATACATACTGTTGTGTTGCCCCATGCGTCAGGAACCTGTGTGGGAGAGAAAAGTACTAAAACATCAGGTCCATGAAATACAATACTTTCTCCTTGAGGTAATTCGATTGTTTTGTGCCACTTATTAGATTCAAACGCAGATTTGTATTCTTCTTCTAACATTGTAGCGATATTTTCTTCGTATGGGACCAACCTTCCGTCTGAACTAGCTTTGTGGAACCAAGAGCATCTTCGTACTTCATTAGGATTCGCTTTCCAATAGACAGGGTTCCTCTGTCTTCTTAAAATATTCACATCATAACGACCGCCATCAGTAGCAATCACTCTATCTGGATCTAAATCGTCTACAAAATGTTTCATTATTTTTTAAAATTTAAGTTTATTAAGTATCTTACTTGAAATGAAAGCTTGTTCTAAAGCTAATGAATCCAACATAGAAAACGGTTCCCATAATTTCCTTCCCTCTATTTCTTTCTGATGAAACCAGTGATGGTAGACAGGTCTATATACTTGGTTAACAGGAGGCTAAAATATAAAGAACATGAGTTCTCAATTCAATTTACAAAAAAAAAACTGTTTAAAATTCTTTGAACCGAAGCCAAAAGCTATAGAACATCCCAGAGGTACTTTTCAGTGCGTCACAGTTTTTCGATTGCTTTCTAATGCATTAAGTTGGATGTGACGGAGAAAGCGGTAGTTCCGTGATTAAACAGAACTATATTGCAGCGTTAGAATAAGCTTACATACATAAGCGGTTCTTTCCTAACCTACATTTGATTCGTTGATATTTAGATGCGCACTTTCTCTAGCCAATCAAATACGCCTATTACTGATAGTTGACGTAAAACTTCGTCCATGCTGGTCATTCTTTCGAAGTGTTCCAACAGCAAGTGACGGATGTCGTTCAGATCAGTATTTGCACAGAATATAGACGCTATATAATATATTTATATTCTTTTGTATTTGTTTTGTATAATTTTATTTTGTATTTTGTTTTACATAGTATTGTGATTGTGGTTTTATTTGTATTTGTACAAGATGGCACGATATACGGAAAAAGGACAAGTTCTAATATTAAAATTGCATTAATATTTTAAATTGGAAAATATAAATATTTCACCATGAAGTTGTCTAAGAAAATATCTTTATAGATACATCCCCACTGGCAGTATTTTTCTATAATTTTATCTGTTAAAAGTCTAATTTTGTACATACAAACTGTAGAATCGCCTATTTTGACATTATCCGCTAGATGAACAAACTTTGTTATTTATAAATACTTGTCTCTGCTCAAAGCGTTGTAAACACTGGAAACTCCTAGGTCCTCATCCAATGATCTGATCTAATTTCATTTCTAGATGGGTCAGGCAACTAGTTTAAAACATCAATTACTATTTTAGCTACAGGTGGTCTTTTTTAACAGTACCATTTGTTTTTTTCAGCAACAAACGTGAAAACCATAATCATATCCAGTGGAACCGGTTATCATCCCATTTTTATATTCACATTGGACTGGCTTCGCTCTAATTGACTGTTTAGCTAGGTTATGACCAACATATTTGACTATGGATTTGTCTAAGGAAATATCTTTATGGAAACATCCTCACTGGCAGTATTTTTCTATAATTTTATCTGCTAAAAGTCTAATTTTGTACATACAAACTGTAGAATCGCCTATTTTGACATTATGCGCTAGATGAACAAACTTTGTTATTTATAAATACTTGTTTCTGCTCAAAACGTTGTAAACACAGGAAACTCCTAGGTCCTCATCCAATGACCTAATACTTAAGCTCCAAGTGGTATTTTTTTATTATCTTCAATATCATTCGTTTTTTTTTCACAACAAACGTGAAAACCATAATCATATCCAGTGGAACCAATTATCATCAAATTCTTATATCCAAATCTGACGGGCTCCTCTCTAATTAATGTTTTGCGAGGTTATGACCGAAATATTTCACCATGAATTTGTCTAAGGATATATCTTTAAGGAAACTTTCCACTGGCAGTATTTTTCTATAATTTTCAATTACACTGATATTCAAATTCTACTTTTCAGTGTTTTCAATAAACTATTATTATTACACATTAGTGAATACATAGTTTTTATGATTAGAATTATATTTTATTTATGTAATTAATTTAGAAGTTACCTAATAAATTTTTGAAAACAGTCTTTTTTGTGTTACTACTTATACTATGGCCAAAAAGCAGTAGTGAGAATAGAAGAAATAACATCAGAAGAAATAGAAGTAAAAAGAGTTGTTCGACAAGGGTGTATATATACACCAGTATTATTTAATATGTACCTATACTCGGAAGACATATTAAGTAAGGCAATGGATTAACGAAACGTAGACATTAGAATTAATGACATGAGCATAAATAACCTGAGATACGCTGATGATACAGTTCTTTTAGCCGAATCACATGAAGACCTACAGATACTTCTTAATTAGGTGACCGCAGTAAGCGAAGAAGAATATGGACCATCACTTAACAGAGCAAGAAATACGAGATAATAACAAAGACAACTCAGGACATTCGTGAGATATATGTACAGAATCAGCCTATTGAAATAGTAAGAGAATTCAAATACCTAGATACAACTATTAATGAAAACAATGACAGTTCTCAAGAAATACAAATCATAATCAAACAGGCCAGAAGCGCATTTACAAGAATACAACGGCTTCTCTGATGTAGAAACTTAAACATTAAGTTACAAATACGACTGCTGAGGTGCTACGTGCTAACCGTATTATAATACGGGATGGAAGCTGAAGAAAATTCACGTGAGCAGACTGAAGGCATTCGAGTACTAGAGATCTCATGGGTAGATCGAATAACCAACGTTGAGGTAATGTGACGTATGCATAATGAAAAAGAAGTAGTAACAATGAAGAGGAGAAAAGTGGGATATATGGGTCATGTGATGAAATGAGATAAATATCTAATACTCCAGGTCATTATGTAAGGAAAAATCCGGAGAAAAAGATCCATAGGAAGGAGACGTAACCCATGTAATAACGACTTATTTAGAGCCGCTGTCTCAAAATTAACAATCGCTGTGATGATTGCCAACTTTCGACGAGCAGACAACCCCTTGAGAAGAAGATACAAAAATTCAATAAATGAATCATTTTGTCGTCAATTTCGAATGTTTCCATATTTATAAATTTAATAAACAATATTTTTTATTTTTATTAATATACGGGATTACCCCCTGTGGCTAAGTACGATCCTGAAATCTGTCAGATTCTTCAATAACTATATGAAATAATGCTCGACACACCTAATTCATTATATGACGTCATAATTAATGACGCACTGAAAAGTACCTCTGGGATGTACTTTACTAACGCAAATAACAGTGAAAAATTACATAATAAAATCATTATGTACTTACACCAGCATCACTTGCGTTATTATTGTTTGGCAGAGCCTCTGGAGAATTCACGAGGGAACTACTAAAATTAGAATTTTGTGACAATTCGCTAACTGGTATGGCATCCATGACTGGTCCTACTATATTTCTGTATGGATGCGTTATCGATACAGATTGGGCAAAAGGTTGTACCGGCACAGGAGCTAAAGGTTGGGAGATAGGATGGAAGGATTGCAAATTAGAAGGAGGCGGAGATATTGGTTTAAACTGGTTTGGCAATCCTTGATTTATATGGTCTATACTGGAAGTTGATGATATGGAAGTGGATGGAGAAGGCGCTGTTGGTACTAAGAAGTTTTGTGATGCTGCTGACGGTACTGGCGCTGCTTGAGGTAATGGGGGAAGGTTTGGTGGGGGATATTTTGGACATTCAAATTTTGAGGTGGTGCGGGGGCTGAAGATAAACCTGGTACTTGTGCATAAGCCGGTCTTTTGAGACCAGCTCTTCTAAATTGATTTGTTGGGCCTAAAACACAATAAAAATGTGAGATATAAAGTTTGGTTTTGTTATTTATTAATAACAGCATGAAAATAATACAAAAATTATTAATAAAAACTTGTTCAGATGGTTTTGGTTTAATCCTAGTATATTTTTAAATTCAAATCGATAAAATTGTAAACATTAGGTAATAATTTGATTAATAAAACTACTCGGACAGTATTTGATTAAACATATTTATTATTTTATATATTTTACCTGTAGGCGGAGGGGGCTGTTGGATACTATATTCAGGTAAATTGGCCGAAAAAAGCGGTACTGGCTCAGGGTTGTTGTTACTTTGGCTAATAAGACTTTCTATTCCAGCAGGTGGAGATACTATCACCTCTTCCTTAGGGTTATTATTAGAACCTCCAATATTCAAAATATTAGAAAAAGATGAAAATACCGAAGACAAGTGCGAACTATGTTGCGGTGCAGCACTTAAGTGAGGCTGCAAAGTTGACAGATCTGGCAATTGTTGTGAATAATTAAATTCTGGCTGATTACTCCCTTCGGGAAGATTCTGTTGATTTTCAACAACTGTTTCTATCTCTTGATTCGGAACAAATTCACTTGATTTTGAAGAACCGGAGATTATATCGTTTAAAATTTGTTCTGAAACAAAAAAAAAACGGTAAACAAAAAAAATTCAGTAAACAAGGAAATACAGAAAAAAATATTTTCCCTATTTAGTTAATTAGTAAGTATGTAGCAAAAGCTTTCTTGTGTGGCCTCCGCACAAATCGTAATTGTGTATAGATATGATAATAGTATAAATATACCTTGTGGATGGTTTACACTTACACAAAACCGTATGTCAACGATCTGCTGCAGTTCTCGGGAGGAACCGCGTTTTGGAGCAATTATTAAGAGGGATATGGTTCCGTTCGAGTTAGGGGTCTCAATTACTCCTATTCTAGTCTACTAGGGCCTACTCAACTCACGCATGACGTGTCAGTATCTTGTTCTCCAGAAATACGAGAAGTGTCAAATGTTCTATAACTACTACTACTATGCACTACTCAGTGTCGAGTGACTGAGGATTAGGCAGATTGAGACCTTAGTGCCGTCGCATAAACACCTTTAAAAAACTTCAAGAAAAGCGGCAAAAAGAAACAATAAGGAAAAGGATTGTACGACAGATAATTATCACAAAATATTACGATTTGACATAAAAGCATTGTTTCATCATTTTAAATCGCAATATAACTAATAGATGGCGCCATTGATCAACCGTTGCATTTGTACAGTTCACCCGAGCAATGAAGAATACTTTTACTTGTTGTTTATCTATTTCGCATCAAATTCGGTCATTATTTGCCATTATGTCAATGTGCTTTTGTCCTGAAGAGGCGACAAAGTCACTTAAACAGGATTTCCAAAACATCCAACGAAGAAAACATCGATCACAATCCAAACGATAATGAACCGAAAATGCTTATCATCGAGACCATATAATTTGTGAAACAAATACAAATACATTATAGAGGAGTCTAATTTCATAGGAAAGATTGCAAGATTGCAGTTCAATGGCAAGTTATGTGAACCAAATAGTTGAAAAAGGACAAACATTGAGTGGGACTGGTTTTAAAATTGACGATGAGTGGATTCGCTACTTTTGGCGGGATTTCCTGCTCGTTTTTCAGCAATGATAATCGCGATCGAATATTCGAGAATTTTGATTTCTATCGATTCAATCAAAACAAAACAGTTGGACATGGAAAATTATGTTAAAGAGTAAGTGATACAGGTGACATTATAGTTGCTAACAAGAACACAGCAAAAGTAAACTATTCAGGTGATTTGGATTTAATAACTGTTGTTGGTGAGAATCATTTTAATATTGTAATTCAAAATGCTCTTTATGTTTCAGAGCTTACAACTAACCTTTTATCTCTCAGCAAAGTAATAGAGACTGGGAATTTAGTTAAATTTAAAAATCATTATTGCAAAACATTATCGCAAAGGCTGACTTGATAAATGGTGTGTACAAATTGAATATTAAGGTTAATAAAGATTTTGATAATACAAAAAGATACAGGGTATATAATTCAACCACCAAAGAGATTATAGTAAGCAGAGATGTATAATTTATGGAAGACACAAAAAAGTTTGAAGTGATTCATTTCAAAAGAAACTCTAGATTCAGTGGGAGAACAAAACAAAGATAGTGTTGAAACTGAGACTAAAGATAACGGTAAAATTTCTAGTGACTAGTAATCTAGCTACAATGAGGAAGACAAATGAAGTGATAAAGAATTACTAGTGACTAGTAATCTAGCTACAATGAGGAAGACAAATGAAGTGATAAAGAATTTGAAGTGCCCTAGTTACCTGAAATATTACACTAAGTACACAGAAAATCAGAAAAAGTAAAAAAAGAAAAGACTTGGTGAATATGTAACATATATGTGTGCGGAGGTAAGTAACATACACGATGTTCCGTTAACAGTCTCGGAGGTATTATAACATATATGTGTGCAGAAACAAGTGACATAGATGATATTCCGTTAACAGTCTCGAAGGCATGATGGATCAAAGTGGAGAGAAGCCATGGTAGTGTAATTATGGATAATAAGTGGGTGTTTAAGTTAGAAACTTTTGCGCCTGTAATAGGACATTCTTCTTTAAGGTTGCTTTTCTTACTTTCTATAAAATTAGTTTTAGATATTACTCATATGTTAAAACAGCATTTCTAAATGGTCATTTGAAAGAGAAAATATACATGCAATCACCAGAGGGTTTTGATTTAGCAGGCAAAAAATGTTTAAAATTAAATAAGGATGTTTATGGGCTTAAAGAGTCTTCTAGGGTCTGGAATGATAAATTAAATAATGTTGTATCTATATAACAAGAGAAAATAATAAAATTATGATTATAGCAGTATATGTAGATGATTTTTTGTGTTTTCAAAAATAAAAGTGAAACAAGTAGACTAAAAAAATGGGATTGAAAATGTGCAAAAAGAGTATTGAGTTATTTAAAAGACACTATTAACTATTCTCTGATTTAATCAAAAGATGTTTCAGAATTACAAGGTTTTGTAGATGCCGATTGGGCAAGCAATACATTAGATCGTAGATCCTTTACGTTAGATTAGAATGTCTATGTATTTAACTTGTGGATCTGCAATATCTTGTTAAAGTGCAAAATAAAAAATAGTAGCTTTATCTAGCTGCGAGGCAGAATATATGGCCTTGTCAGATGCCGCTAAAGAGGCTGTTTTTCTTAGGGGTTTGTTAAGTGATTTAATTGAAAAAACTGAATGTATTACTTTATTTAACGATAATCAAAGGACATTAAACTTATCAGCAAATTAAATTTATCATAAAAGAAGAAAGAACATTGATGTTAAATTTCATTTTTTGAGAGACCTATTTAATATCTGACACAATCATTAATGTAAAATACATGTCTACTGATGCCAGCATGTTATGCCAGCTGATGTGTTGACTAAAGGTTTAGTTGCTGAAAAGTTGCACAGATTATTGAAACTGTTAAGTGTAGATAACCTATAAATTTTGTTTTATTGATAAATGGGGGTGTTAAAATATTGATAACACCTAAAAAATTAAAATATTAGCGCCATATGTCATTTACCGTAAGGTAAGGTTGATATAATATAAACTTCAAATTGTATTCACTTTCAGAACAAAATAAAGTTAGTCTTAACTATATACTCAACTGGTTTGTTTCATTTATAAGTTTTAAGAAAAATCACCCTAGCTTTTCCTTATCTATGTTTCTTATATGATTATTTTCTGCGGTAGAATGGATATCATGAATCAATGAAAAATTACGGAACAGATCTGGAAAGAGTAACAAGAACAACGTACCTTGGAAGTAATCTTGATGAAATTTGGGACCACTCACTAGATATAAGAATACGCCTGGAAAAGGCACGTACAATGTTTTACAAAATGTAAAAAGTTCTATACAACCGCCAGCTGGGCATCTCATTGAGAACTAGAATACTTAAGTGCTATATTTTCTCCACCTTGCTCTATGGTGTTGAAGCCTGGACAATGACAGAAGCAACACAAAAAAGAATCCAAGCATTCGAACTCTAGTGTTACCGTAAAATGCTCAGAATATCCTACATGGGCCATACGACAAATGCGGAAGTCTTGCGGAGGATGAATAAGGAAAGAGAGCTGATGCTTATAATAAAAGAACGGAAAACACAATATTTTGGTCACATCATAAGAAATCAGAAGTATGAACTGCTCCAACTTATAATCGAAGGCAAAGTCAATAGCAAAAGAGGACAAGGGCTGCTACAAATAAGATTAAATGGGCAAATGTAATGGCCAACGTCCTTAAGGATAAGGCACCGTAAGAAGAATGAAAAATTCACATGGAAATTTCCACGACTACGTCGTTGTTTAATTGACTCCTGAATATTATTCTTAAAAACCTTAAAAATCGTAAAGCTTTAAAACATTAGAATCTCTACATTCCAACACGGCTAGAACATCTATTTAAAATGAAAATATCTAATATTAATGAAATATATACAAAATGGAAGTCCAAGGTCAATAAAACATAAAAACTTTCATTTAGTACAAAGTTATGAACTATGATGATATATACTTACAGAGAAGAAAGAGAACTTTTACATTTTGACATATGTCTAGAAATGGTAAATATATGAGAAGATATTTGTGACTATAAAATATGAATTTCAGTTAAGAAATATCTCATTTCCACCTTAAAGAAAAAAATGCAACAACCATGCTTGCTTACCCATTTCTGTCTCCATAACTCTATGTTTATATATAAAAGAAATTTTAATTGGACTATATCTAACTGGGTATTTTTAGAGAATATTTTTATAGAACAGCAACAACGGTACACGATCACATGTGTGCGAATTGCTGCACAATATATTTAAACATTGTGTGTATCCTAATCATAAAACCATAAGTAAACAAAACGTGTTTTGTAGTTTTGTTGATTAGCTGATGGCATACAATAAGAAAATTTACTTAATGTATTACGTCCGACGAAAAGATAAAATTTGATCAAAATATAGTCATATATTTCAATTATTGTTGTTCTGAGACTGTTCTGCCGTGATACGGTAAAAAGCAGTAAGTGCGAAAATAATGGTTTTGAGCTATTTGCAATTTAGGATTTTTTCTTCCACACAATGTATTATTTATTTAATTTTAAGTAGAAAAACGTTAAAAGACGTTAAAAAATATGTCTTAATTTTTAACAAACAAAACAATTGTGTTACTTGGTTTTTAGCTGAAAATTCAGCAGTTACTGCTGTTTACCATAATAATCAAGTTGTTTTCTTAGCAGTAAAAATGTAAAATTTTTAGCTTTATGTAAATATCGGTTTTAAAAATAAAACATAAATGCAGAATAAAGCGGTAGTATAATGAAATTAAAAATAAAATGTAATCCACATTAATGGAAAAGAAAAAAATCAGAATTGCTGCCTCGTCTGGACTGTACCACAGATATATCGCAAAGGAAAGATCTATTCGTTTTTTTATTTGACTTTTGAATCTCTAGATTTCCAATTTAAACATCTTCATTTTTCAAACAAATTACGTTCATTTTTTTTTCCATTTGAATTTTTTACAGCCTTAATAAAATCGTTGA